ACAGCTGTGTGTGTGTGTGTGTGTGTGTGTGTGTGTGTTGTAAGCCAAGTGTTCCTGGTAACAAAAGAGAACTTGACAGTGTTCCTGGTACGGAGTCCGGAGCGAGCATTTGATAGTGTTCCTGGTACAGCTATAGCACCTGATAGTGGTCCTGGTACGGAGAGAGTACTTGATAGTGTTCTAGGTACGGACCAAGTGTTCCTGGTGTGGAAAGAGAACTGGATTGTGTTTCTGGTACGGAGAGAGTGCTTGATAGTGTTCCTGGTACAGAGAAGCACTTGATAATTATCCGGGTATGGAGACGGCAATTGATAGTGTTCCTCAAAATGCAGTAGCCCAAGTAAGTGTTCCTGGTACACAGAGAGAGCACTTGATAGTGTTCCTGGTGTGCACAGAGCCATCAGTTGTGTTGATAGTGTTCCTGGTGAGGAGCGTGACCCAGAACCTCAGCCAGGACGTTAGGACGAAGAGATCTGCTCACAAGAGATCACTTTTTCAAAGTCAAGATTGGTCAGACAGTTGTTAGGACGAAGTGATCGGGTATCTAGGTGAAAGATCGGTGAAAGATCGGTGAGATCGGTGAAAGATCGGTAAAGATCGGTGAAAGATCGGTGAAGATCGGTGAAAGATTGGTGAAAGATTGGTGTCCCAGGTGCCAAAAATAATTTTGCCTGCCCTCTGGAAGGGGGTTGCAGGTTTTGGGAAAGGATGTTAAGATTCACAACTTCACACTTAAACATGTCCCGAACATCTTTACGAGCATTGAGCAAAGAAGGTTTGTTACTGGTTGGCTTGAACTATGATTGCTTAATACTTACCATTGTGGGATCTTCGCTGGCATACGGCTAGGGTAAAGATCACTGTGACTTAAATTACTTGACAATTACCGACATGAGAAGATGGGCATTGTCTTTCTGCACCTTTCACACAGTAGCGTTTGCTAGTTGGTATGCACACTGCTAGTTGTCAGGATGGAACACTTTGTTTTAAGAATGGGGTAGCCGCTAACTTTGTTATACACAGGATTCGAACACTGGATATGTTTATGCATTGTACGATTCGGCAACCAGCATCAGGTATTGGGTGCAATATTAACATGTAATGGCCACTGCAGGGAAGAGTGTCCGTAGGCTTGGAAAACACGAGTGATGAAAATCAGTGCAGCTTTTGTACTGCTCTCTCTCTCTCTCTCTCTCTCTCTCTCTCTCTCTCTCTCTCTCTCTCTCTCTCTCTCTCTCTCTCTCTCTCTCTCTCTCT